TTCTCAATCTGGAGAAGCAAAGGCTGTATTCCAATGCTCTTCCGGCTGTCACTATTCCGGACCATGTCGAGACGTAAACACGCTGACAACGTCTACATTTTGCTCGAAATCTGCCGTCGTCGGTCGCTTATGGAACTTCACAAAAGGCGCCATGCTATAATGGAGCCGGAAACCAGGTATTTCATGAGGCAACTGATCGAGGCTTGCATTTATCAGCATGAAAATTATGTTATTCACCGCGATCTGAAGCTTGGAAACCTTTTCTTGAACGATGACATGGATTTGAAAGTCGGCGATTTCGGGTTGGCTACGAAACTAGATTACGAAGGAGAGAGGAAAAAGACACTTTGCGGTACCCCAAATTACATTGCTCCAGAAATGCTAGGTAAAAAAGGACACAGCTTTGAAGTTGACATTTGGGCGATCGGCTGCATAGTATTCACACTACTGGTCGGTCGACCACCGTTCGAAACAAATTCTTTGAAAGAAACCTACAATCGAATAAAAAAGAACGAATCTCATTGTCCGATGCGTATTAGTACCAGCGCTCGGCAGCTAATCCAACGACTGCTGCAACCGGGCCCGCACAACCGTCCTACCATAAAGGAGCTGCTCAGTTTTGAATTCTTCGTTTCCGGTTTCACACCCACCAGACTTCCGCCAAGCTGTCTAACAATGGCGCCAAAGCTTCCTGTGGATATAACGGTTTCTGCTCTGGGGGTTGAACGTAAGCCTTTGACGGACACTTCTAATATACGAGTTCTGAGTCCTATGCAGCAAGTAAGGAAAGACATGCTAGCGGCCCCTTTCCGGGCCTTGAATGTAGTGCCTGAAAATTACGTTTTACCAAACGAGAAAGTTCAACAACATTTTGAAATGCCAGTTACGGACAAAGATGAAATGCCGTTCGATTGCTACCTTGGAAAGTTGTACGGACAGCTGATCGAGCTGATTCATGCGGACCCAGTCAGAAATGGAATGATCAGACAAGAGGAGGCTGAAGATCCTGCTTCCGCTCCCATAATTTTGGATTAGTAAATGGGTGGATTACAGTGACAAGTACGAAATCGGCTACCAATTGCCAGACGACAGTTTTGGAGTATTCTTCAACGATGGCACTCGCTTAGTGTTGAACGCCGACGGAGTTTAACGCCGCTGCAGTTCATTAAACACTAATAGTAAAATTCATAAAGCTAAGAGATGATGGAAAGCGTAACAAACAAAACGTTAATTAAGAAACACGAAATGCGATCATTTTGTTTGGAAGTGCGGTCATCATTTCACCGAAAAGAAACTTAATTTTACTTTACGTCGACAATTCTGTTGAGCTTAATTTTTGCCACCGAGGGGGGTGGGGGTTACTGCCGCCGAGTCGCATTGTCACAGTACAACACAGGTATGCAATATTCCGCAAAGTAAAAGGAGATAGACGAATGTCGAAAAAGCATAGACTTAATTTGTGCTATCTACCATAAGTTCATGCTTCAGAGTTCCAATAAAAATCGACGGTCACTTCTTTTTCAGTTAGCTTCTCTGTACAGGGTCTTTGAAGTCGTGACGGAGATGAGACTGCAGCTTCTTGCGGTCGACTAAAAGCCATGGTCCTTCTCTACTGTCATCAGTCAGCATGGTGAACACTTTGTTCGAGTCTTCGAATCAGGGTTCATTGCGTACCTGGCTTACAATCAAACGTGCTTAGGAATTTGCCCAAATTCGACGCGAAACTGATGACCATGAATATATTTGGTTTGTGCGGCGGACCATTAGTTGCTGCAGAGCAGATGCCCGTTTTATTACATCACAAATACAATAACAACATACGAGGCAATAGGACTCACACTTGCGAAGCTTTGGAAAGAGGCCAGCCATTCGTTAGTTGTGCCAGCCCCAGGGGTCTTCTGAGCCTCAATTTGCGATATACTAGAAATATGCCTCGAATTGCAAAGAGAGACGGAGGAGCAGGTGAAGAAGTTCAAGTACCTCGGAATTGTATTTACTAGTTAATGATGGAAAATTGGAGGAAGAGATCGACAGTCGAATTGCAGCAGCCATGGCCAGTAGCGTTCTGCGTG